TTAGGCTACCGGACTTGTAATCGTGCGATTGCGGGGTCGGGAGTTCGAGCCGCGGGCCCGACGTTGTTTCCTTTACACGAATTGTTCTCTCTCTTCACGCAGGTGGAAATGGGTACCTGGCCATAGACAGCGAAAGATCTTGTCAGTATGTTAGTGTTTTAGGGCTTATAAATGGCTGCTTGCACTGTATGCTTCCCAGGAAGTTGAGTTTGTTTCAGAATGCTCTCAGGTCTGCTGGGGTAATAGTATAGATTGTGAAGCGTATAGAGCTTGCTGTTGAGCGGGGATTTACGCTATACAAATGCTATCTATTATTATCTATTATTACTCTCATAATAGTACTAGAAAACAGCTACTCACAGTGCCTTTTCTATCCTCTTCTTCTTCTTTCTCCTTCCTTTCTTCTTCTGTTTCCTCAAAACGCTGAGTGCACGGGCTTCTAACGGGTGACAGTTCCCATTGTGACCAGGGTAGGCCTTGAGACTTTAAGTCAGTCTGGGGGGAAGCCAAAAAGGCGGGAAAATGTCAGGAATAGTGTGATCTCCATCACATCTAGCCGAACAATTTCTCTTATTTTTCTAACGTGACTACACGCTAGATTCACACAGAATAAAATAAGGTCTTCCTACAAAGAGTTGGATCGGGATTTTTAGTTTTCTTTCTTCTATTGTAAGCGTTTTATTTGTGTCAATAAACAGAAACAAATGGTGAAATGGCAATATCAACACTGTTAAGTTATTAAAGAAGCGGGACCTCCGAGCTTCACGTTTGTCTCCGAAAGGGCCAAGCCAAGTGGGAAATTCGTGTAACGTGCCTTTCCCAAGGACACAACGTAGGACCGAGCTGAGGCTCGAACCCACGACCCCGCAATCTCACGATTACGAGTTCGGTAACCTAACAACTAGGCTACTGACGCCACTTCGATAAACAGAACACGCAGGACTTTAATTTGGGTGTTCTGGAAGTGCTCAGACGTGTGATCATCCTTAAACTAATTTGAAATCGCTGCCGTGACGTCACTTTCAACTCCACGCTATGAGCTTAATACTATAGTGGAGTGATCTTAAAGAAACGTTTGGTTAAATAAATAATATTGCTTCAGTTGTCACGTTTCGGTTGTTGTTTTTTTTATCTTACATTGTCGATTCAGCCATTGTACCGTAACGACGCTTTAAAAAAAAAAATTTTTTTAATCCCAGATGCAAGATGTTTTATTAAAAATAGCATGTCGACACAATAACGGTAATTTTGTGGTGGAAGAAAAGGATAGGCTTGAAAGTAAAAGTGAGAGCCAAGAAATATAGGACCTATCAATGCCGCTATACAGTGATATTAATTTTTATGTTTGGGTACACCGAGTACTGGAAGCAATAAACTTTATAACTATATTGTTATAAGTGGAGAGGCAGTCATCATCACGTGCAAAACTCGCAACAGACATCATTGTTCGCCACTCATTTCTTTGCCCGGACGTTCTTAAAAAAAAGCAAGAGTGTTATAATCCTGCTGTTTCCCTGTCACCTGTCTGTTCCGTCTTTCCAAGTAAAGATTTATGGGTTTTTTTCTTCACATTATGTGTTTTATACTGATCTATTTCGTAAGTGGAAGTGTCATCAACAAGGCAGGGGGAACAGACGAAGACATCAAGGTCAGAATCCAAAAGGCAAGAGCAGCATTCATCATTCTCAGGAATATATGGATGTCTAAGGAACTGGGATTGAACACCAAACTGAGAATCTTCAAAACAAACGTGAAGACTGTTCTACTGTATGGTTCAGAGACATGGAGGCTCACAGCATCAGCAGCAAGGAAACTGCAGAGCTTCGTAAATGGATGCCTACGAAGGATAGTAGGGATCAAGTGGTACGATCGAGTCACGAATGCTCAACTGTGGGAGAGAACAAGCCAAAGGCCAGTAAAGGAAGATATTCAGGTGAAGAAATGGAAATGAATTGGATACACCCTGAGGAGACCTCCGACAAGCATAATCAGGCAGGCTTTAACGTGGAACCCACAAGGAAAGCGTAAGAAGGGAAGACCAAAGATGACATGTAGGCGAGCGGTACAAGCGGAAATTGAAAAAGCGGGGACATCATGGAAACAGATAGAAAAGGATGCTCAGGACAGGCTTCGCTGGAGTAATGTTGTCGATGGCCTGTGCTCCACTGGGAGCTAAAAAGGGCAAGAGAGAGAGAGAGATTTCTTAAATGTGTGTGTGTGTGTGGGGGGGGGGGGGTTAATAATGTGTCATTTTTCCCAACTTCGGAGCCCGTCTTCTCATTTTCATCTTTCCACATTTTGCAGCATTAAAGTTTCCACGTTTTCATATACTTTATTTTTTTTTTATTGTAGAGAAAATGCTATAGTTTGGTTTGTTTCATTTATTTATGTGTTTTGTTTCGGGTTTTTTCCAATAATACTAACTCAGTTTGTGAAATTTCTGGCTCATGCCCGAGTTTGATTGGCAGTGACGTGTGTAATAGAAACACCAGTATGTCAAGTGAGATTGGATCTTGTTAAGTTAATCTGATCCGACATGCTTCAATAAATGCTATTCGAAAAGGCGAAGTGATTAGCAGGACTAGTCTGCAACTTTCGATTCGTTTTTCATTGAAATAGCATTACACTGACAGCTAGTAGTGAGGGAGAAAAGAGTGAGCATGAGAGAGAGAGAGAGAGAGAGAGAGAGAGAGAGAGAGAGAGAGAGAGAGTGAGAGAGAGAGATAGGAGAGAGGGAGGGAGAGAGTGTGTGTGTGTGTGCGCGCCGTGGGTTTGATAGTGCGTTTTGTGTGTATGTGTGTGTATGTGTGTATGTGTGTGTGTGTGTGTGTGTGTGTGTGTGTGTGTGTGTGTGTGTGTGTGTGTGTGTGCGCACGCGCGTGTGTATGTGTGTATGTGATATGTGTGCGTGCCGTGTGTATGCTGCACACACAAGTAGATAGGCATATCTGTGCAATTTTGTTGATGTAATGTTAAATATTCCTATTACATATTGCAGATTCTAATGACAACACATAATTTTTTCCCAGTACATCTTATTTGTAGGACAATAGGCGGGCCTCATTCCATCCCATCCCATCCCATCTCATCTCAACTCAACTCATCCTGTCTCATCACATCTCTTGAGAAGAAATTTGCGCTATACAAAGCAAATGCTATCTATCTATCTATCTATCTATCTATCCATCTATCTATCTATCTATCTATCTATCTATTATAATTGTTGTTATTATTATTATATATTATTATCATCATTATTATTATTATTGTTGTTATTATTATTATTATTATTATTATTATTATTATTATTATTATTAATAATACTATTACTACAATGCATTATATCCTGAGAGGGAATTTGCGCTATAGAAATACACGTAATATCTAGTAGTAGTAGTAGTAGTAGTAGTAGTAGTAGTAGTAGTAGTAGTAGTAATAGTAGTAGTAGTAGTAGTAGTAGTAGTAGTAGTAGTAGTAGTAGTAGTAGTAGTAGTAGTAGTAGTATCTCACCTCATCTCATCTCATCTCATCTCCTCTCATATCATCCAATCTCATCTCCTCTCATCTCATCTCCTCTCATCTCATCTCCTCTCAACTCATCCAATCTCATCTCATCTCATCTAATCTCATCTCATCTCATCTCATCTCATCTAATCTCATCTCATCTCATCCTCATCACATCTCATCTCATCTCATCTCGTCTCATCTCGACTCACCTCTGTTGGACAACAGCCCTTGCCTCCCCTCGAACAGGCTGTGGATGACGCGCTCTCAGAACGGAACAGTGCCGGCCGGGTCTTTTTGGACTTCGCAGCAGTCAACACCAGAGTGAATTGGGTCAGGCTGGCTGTCCACAGGGACAGGATGATAAGGGTCAGGGTTCGATTCTCACGAACAGTCTTTTCCTAGAGTGGGTGCAAGAGATACATCTTGTCAATACGTTAATATCTTTTTTGGTGACTGTAAATGGCAGATTTGCACTGTTCGCTTCCCGAAAAGCTGAGATTGTTTCAGAATGCTATCAGTTCTGCCGATGTATTGAATAGATTGTAAAGGGTGTACAGCTTGCTGTTGAGTGGGAAGTTAAGCTGTATTAATGTTATCTATTATTATTGCTAATATCATTATTATTATTATTATTATTATTATTATTATTATTATTATTATTATTATTATTATTATTATTATTATTGTTATTATTATTATTATTATTACATTCCAACGATAATGCTCTGAACTTGGGTTGTTAACTCTTTCTGGTCCTGATTTCTTTGATTGCCCATTTTACGTGTGAAAAACTCTTCCCAAATCTAACAAAATAAGATGCATGAGTAAGCACGTGCAATGTGTTAAACCAGTGCTCGCCGACCAGGGCGATATCGCTCACGATGGGATGTTTTGATCATTTTAGTAGGCGGTGGGGTTCTCCAGGACAATGAGTGACAGGTGTTATTGAAATGCCCCGCTTGGAAATGCACGTCGATGAGCGGTAATAAAGTAAAGCATGGTCTAAAACAGCCGTGTGCACTGCTCATAGCCGAACACTTCGTATCCCGGACTCTAGCGTGGAGATCATCAGGAGAGAATGCGTCGCTGTTTCGGGCTCTTCCTTTCTACAGCTCACCAATGTGAGGTCTCCTTGCTAGTGCAACTGTCTTCCTCAGCTGTCAACTCTCTGGATGTATTCCTATAGCGTAAATTCCCGCTCAACAGCAAGCTCTACGCGCTTTACAATCTATAATATTATTACACCAGCAGACCTGACAGCAAACTGAAACAATCTCAACTTCCTGGGAAGCATGTAATACACGCTGCCATTTCATTGGCAGTACGAAAATCTCCGCGTCTTAATAGTCCCAAAACCGGGCGGCGTGCTAAACAAAGGAACATGTTACAGGGGTCATAATATTTTTTGCATCTCAATTATTCATAAAGTTATTGTATGACAACATGTACTGCTAAGTGATGTCTAATTTCTTAGCTAGACTTTGTTCTTAAAGAACCAATTATGATTATGTTCGATGAGGAGAAGAGCCGACATTTACGAGTTTAGAAAATTATTTATGAGCTCTGTCCTGTCTTGTCTGGGATGGGACTTATTTTAAAGTTTCCTATCTTAAATGAGATTACTTTTATGAAGCAACTTGGTATAAGTATTCAGAGCGAAAAGACCAGTTGTTGTCTTTATATAGACTTCAAAATTGCGATCACTACTACATAGATGGTGTGGCCACCGCCTCATCCATATCTCTGTCTGTCTGTCTGTCTGTCTGTCTGTCTGTCTGTCTGTCTGTCTGTCTGTCTGTCTGTCTGTTTGTCTGTCTGTTTGTCTGTCTGTCTGTCAGTTTGTCTGTCGGTCTGTCTATGGCAAACCAACAGAGTCAAACAGATATGTTATTACAGACTGCGCATAACTGATGGACAGTGTAAAGTTACTGGCGTCCGATGAGTCGGGTCTGTCAGAGGGCCCCCGTCTAGGATAGATGTTGCCTTGTCGTGGTTCTGTGTCCGACTGACTTTCAATGAGTCTCTCTCAGACGATCTCTGCCTATTTTCCCGAGGCTCCTTGCGACATCATTCAAGGGCGTGCTACTCCCTTAATTATCGTGTCCCCACACTAAAGATAAGAGTCATGTCCCTTGACATCACAGGACAGAAGACACAGAAAGAGGAGACAGACATCAAAATAAAGAAAGATATATGCGGCAAGGAACGAAGGAATGAAGACATTAACAAAAGAAAAAAAATGGCTTGAGGAAGAAAAAAGATATTGGATGAAAATTTAAATACAGAATCAGAAGTACAGAGAGCAGCGTGTGTGTGTCAGTGTGCCTGAAGAAAGGTCCCAGTTGTCGACAGCTGTTTTAGAGCAACGCGGTGATAAGGCCAAAAAAAGTCGTACTTTTTTGTCAAAAATTTTGATCAGTACACGTTTA